CGGGGGCCGCTGGTCTGGGGGCAAGATCCGCGGGCGCTCCTGCTCGGGCGTTCGGCTCAGGAGCCTCATCTCCGACTGCCTGACCAAATCCTCTGGACCTAGGCAGGTGAGAAAGAGCAGCTTTGGAATGAAAATATACAACCACGACAGCAGAAAGAAGAGGTCTCTTTCCTGCAACAATGCAGAGGTTTGTTAACCCAACTCTCATTAACTTATTAAATTTATTGGTAGTTAAATTATTTTGGAGAAGGCAGCAGCTCGTTTGCCTCAGGAGGGCAGTGCAGGTTTCTTCTCAAAGCAAGATTACCAGGCAAGTGCTTTGAGAAAAATGGTACAAGCTCCTTAAAAAAACCCAAAACAATACACAAGCTACACTAACACTAGGAAATTCAAAGAGGGATCAGGAAATATTTGCAAATAAGTATCAAAGTCTTACGGGACAAAAGGCCACCCTACAGGGAACAGCAAAACTTAAGGTTAAACAAAAACGTGAACAAAAAACCCATCACCCCCCAAAAAAAATAAAATCAAAAAACACACCCAAACCATTTCACAATATTTCTTTCAAAGCTGCCACAGAGCAATAAATAAACCACCGTATAATAAAATTGAAATAGCAATCCAAAAAGATCAACAATAGAGCTCTAAACTTTGCAAAGACTAAGGAAGCCACTACTACATCCCAAAACAAACCCTCAACCACGTGTTGGTGACAGCTATGGGTAACCACCTACAGAATTATTACTAAGAATTGATCTAGTCAGCACTAAAACCAAAAATACCCTCACTCCAAAACAGGGTTTATCTAAACACACAGTCAACCTTGGAAATTCCACCCATGAATCTGGTAGAGAAGATGTCTTCTCCACCACACACACCACTAAGAAAACGTCAAACCCCAGGAATAATGATCTATGTGACTGTTTCATCAGAAACACTGCTGCTACTTGTGTACCTCAGAGTGAGGATCATCTTTTGCTCTCTCTGCAAGGCACCTGGTACAGTAAGACACAAAATCCTGCGATCCAGAGGCAAAGTGTGGCAGACTCAACTCCATCACCCCACCCCTCCTATACTCGCAGAGACTCCTATGGTTAACAGGTTAGCTCTGGGCAAGCTGCTACGTCTCCACTGCCCCAGGTCAGCAATAAAGGCCCCCAGTACCTGCAGACGTGTACAGTGACTTGATGAGGTGCGGGTAGCCGGGTGCTGGCGACTCCACGTCCTCCCGGCTGACAGAGGCAGGAGTGCTGGGCTCCGGAGGCTGCCGCAGCGGTAGCGACGCTTCAGTGCCTGATCCGTTTTCCTTCTCCTCCGAGGCAAAATCTTTTTGCTTTGTTTGTTGAGCCTTTATTAACTGGGACAAGAGAACAGCAAAAGCACTCTGTACAGCTGCCTGGGCAGCGTCCGCCTCAGCTTTGGGCTGACCCAGCTGAGCAGGTGGCACAGGAGGCTGCGTGGCCGGTGGCTGTTTTAGGGGCTCCTGCTCCGGCGGCAGTGGTGGAGGCGGCGGCTGCTGCTGCTGTTCTGACTGTTTTTCACCTGCTGACAAAATTCCAGCAGGAAGATTTATTTTATTTAGTTGCTGCTGAGTCTCTGGGTTTACCTTAATATTCAACATTTGGGCAAACTGTGCCAAACTAACGCTTGTTTTAGACTGTAGCAGGTTTAGCAGGATTGCCACTTCATTCTGGTTTAACTGCTGTCCAGTGCTTGTTTTTGCTAAAGACAAAAAAGGGTTTTTTAAGTATCATTCAGAACTGGCACATTTCAGAAGCTCAAAAATATGACTAATCTAACACAGCTGACACAACTGGCAAAGCATGGGGTTGAACAACATAAAAATGGAATGCTTTTACACATATGAACTGCCTTTGGGGGAGTAAGACATGGTAAGATCCAACATAAAGTGACTTCTAAGGGGTGTGCATACACACTTGGACAGATGAGAGATACCAAGCTCGAGCTCAATTTTCCACAATCCAGCTAAGCTGGGGTTTAAGGCCACCAGCTTCAGGCAGCCATGAGATTTCCAGTCCCCACAAAAATTTCCTACCATTGACACACCACATCCCTCTCTTAAAAAGAGCCCATCTGCAAAATGCATTTCCAGTCATAGTCTGGCCCATTCAAACTCAGCATCTGGATCCTAACACCTGCTCAAGTGACCAGGCTCCAGGTGACCCAGAAGCTAGTGGCATAAATGCAAAAGTAAATGCTGAGTTTGAAGGACAAGAAGTCTATCACTGAATAGAAGGAAAATGTAGGTTTGTGATGATACAAAATTTGTTCAATGAAATGGAACCAGCCATAAGTAAGAGGAGATTATGATGATGATGATGGGGAATATGAATAAGGAAGTCAGAATATCAGAGAGGTTTCTTAGTTTCAAACACCCATCGTAGCACTTTATTTTGAAGTGGCATGGATTTCAACATGCCCTTTGAGTAGGTGACAAAGAAAAAAGTAATTGAAAACTAAAAAATAATTGTGTGTGACTGTGCTGGCAGAGCCCTGATTTTTTTCAACCCAGATCAGCTGAAACACATTCTATCTTCTTTTTTTCCTGCCATTCTGCTAATTCAGCAATAGATTACCTCATAGCAGATTTTAAGTCATACCTGAAAAAAGTCACACACAGAAAAAAAACATATTTGCCCTGCAAGACCACAAGCAGCACAGGCAGAAGGTGCTGCAAAAGCTACAACCCATTACCTTACTTGTGGATGTGCACCAGGATACAAGCACTTGGAATCTACTCAGGCAGGATCCAGGGACTTAACAGTTTTATGTATTCATATAAATATAAAAACAAAACCACCTTCTATTGGGCAGTACAGAAAAAAAAACCACGAACATTTGTAATGCCCTGTACTGCTGGCTCTCACTCAAACGTCATGTTCAACAGTTGGTTTTGTAACATCTGAGGATGGTATGCTCAAGACTCAAACTTATCTCAGATTCTCAGTGAAAATTCAGCTGAAAAATGTCAGATCTACCTATACCATACTCCTTGGTTAGTTTCAATTTAATTCCAGAGGCAAACTGTATTCTGGGAAACTTGGCAGTTCCTACCAGAACAGAATTACTGAGCCCTGCATAGCTCCTGTTAAATTGTAAGATGCAATAACCAGGGGTCTCATTCATGAATCAGAACACAAACATTTTTTTTTTTAACCTCTTCCTTTGGGGTGCTCAGAAACAAATGCAACAACTTTGTTTAAAGTGTACATTTGTACATGGAGTTCTCTAGTGGGCCTTATTGATGATATTATCTAAGGTGCGTTATAGCATCCAGAAGTGTTTTCCTTAACACAAAAAACACTTCTATGCTAAACTCTCTAAGCTCCACTAAAAATTAAATTGTTGTCTTTTCTACCTAGGTATATTTTTCTCTGCAGCTATGGGCAGACAGCAATATAGGTCTGAATCAATCCTTCTCTATTTATCTAGCTTATTTTACATGGTTGGTATTAATGACTAACAGTAATCTCTCATTAGGTTACCTGTGACAAAAGGAAATAACTACTATTTTTTGGACTCTTTAAACTTCCACACAATTTTCATTTGCAGGGGAAAAGATTTTAAGGGCTACAGAAAGTCATACTTAAAAATGCTGCCAAAACTTCAGCCTAAACATACGGAGTGGCAGAAGCTCACAGCTGGTGCTTAGTGACAAACAGGATGAACAGGAGCAAGAGTCAATAAATTGCAATAAAATAAGAACTACTTTCTATATATCTTTGCACACAGTATTTGGAATTCTGCTCTATTGTTAAATGAAGAGTTGATTCAAGGTAGTTACTATTAAAGAATTTTCAGGCCCTGTGAATGCATTTACTGGTTTTCTTCAGCTAAACTCCTGTATCAGTGCTACTGGATTTATAGTCACTTTGCACAACCAAAAATGGTCTACAGTTAATCTTATCAGGTATCCATTTGTTATTGTAACTCTATGCATATTATGAGGGAACTATCACCAAACAGCTGAGTATCTAAAATGGTGTCCACGTAGGAAAACATTACTTATTATATTATATTCCTAAAACTGGAATTTCAGAATTCAATTGAAGTTTCAGAATTAATGGCTGCACAATCTACAGAAATAGCTACTTCTTGTCATACCAGGTTTTATGGTTTTGTTGGTTTAGTGGTGGGGTTTTTTTGTTTGTTTGGGTTTTTTTTTACAACTCTGCTCAACTGCTAAAGGAAACTGCTAAAGGAAAGCTGAAGTCTGACATAACATGCAGAGAGAACATGTTTCATTTGAAGTGATGATTGTTCTAAATTCTGCTTTCTGATCAGTTCATCAATACCAATAAAGCTCCTCCAGCCTACAGAGACTGTGAGGAAGAGCAGCAGCTGGCTAGTAGGATTACAGAAGAAATATAGATGAGATAAAAATCCCTTCACAATACAGAGCAAGGTGGTTGCTCCAACCAGATTGAAAAATTAAGTAAAACTTAAAAAGAATACCTGGCTTCCAAAAGCAAAGGTAAATTTTGTAACAAAGATTTAACTTACAATACTGTTCCTCCCTCAAGAATCCAGGAGACGTCAGTACTCTGCGAATAACACCTAAAATTTCTAGAGGTGCAATCCAAGTAGAAGGTAATTGTAAGAACTGAAAATATTACTGACCAAGTGCTACACTAGAGCTGCCCTGAGTTTTGAGTTGGGAAGAAGTTTGCATGCCTTGTGGGGTGTTGGTTCTGCTCTCATCCATGCCTAGAGACAGATCCTTCCTAGGGACTTTAGCTGCTGTTGAGTCATCAGTCATGCCCATCTGCTTCTGTCTTCTGCGCTTCTTACTCCACAGCTCATGGCAATCCTGCCACAAAGGAAGGCTGCAAAGAATGGTTAGAGATTATCAGTTTTATCCCAGTATTATTTAAAAAAAAAAAAGTAATTAAACAAGTTGGTAAAATAAACACTCAAATTATATATAATGTAACTTTTCAAAGGTGGACCTACTGGAACTCAGAAATACATCAGAAAACACCCAAAGCCAGCTAAATCTCAGATCTGCTTTTTTTTCTGGCTGAAATCTCTTCATTGATTGCCTGTTTCAGAAGCACAGGTCCTTCTGGCAGAAAACAGGAACATGCATCTTAACATGAGAATCAATTCTTGCATTTGTACTTCTGCAGAGCCCCATATTTTGTAATCCAAGACATCAAAGAGCTGCACACTTGCTATAAAACAGAATTTGCAGAGTAACAGATAACAAGAGTTATCAATTTCTTTTGTCCCCTTGTAAAAGTACTACTGCTTCATGAGTTCAAGTATTCACCCACAGTAACAGACATTGCTATTTAGTATTCATAACTGTACAGCAAAGAACCAAGGAAGTAGGGGAAGAAAAGTTTCAAGAATAAAGAGTACTCAGCACTAGCAAAGTTAGGATGGTAGGAGGAACAAAGGATATCTCAGTCGTTTAAGATAGATACAAAAGCAGAGGCAAAGGAAGTCATCTGCCCGCAGTTCTGTCCTCCCATTACTGGTCCTAACTGCAGGCATCCTAATTCTGACTTCCTGAGGAACAGAGACACCCATCCCACACGTAATGGAAATACTGAGATACACAGTCAAAATGGTGCCTTCTGTTTTCATATTCCCTACTAGTAACTGTCTGAGTAGTCCCTTCACCCGTGGACAGGGAAAAATTAGGTGACAGATGATGAGAGCCACTGGAAAGGCAATCATTCCAACTGCTTCCTTTACTCTCCCTCTCCGCATACCAGGTCAAAACCCTGGCAAGTATTTAGTCAAAAGCAACTGGAAGCCAGTGAGAACTCATTGTGAGAGGTATCCTACAGTCACTGCAGTCAGCACATCCTTTTCTTTGAATGAACAGCTGCTTCTTCCCAAAGCAGAACTTCAGTCTTGCAAGAGAACAGTCAACGCTTTGTCAGAAGTGAGTGTGGTTCCTCTGAATTTTTAAAAGGACACCAACAACTAGTTTTCTTTAAATTTCCATAAATCAGCTTCTAGAATGAATGCACAACCAAGCCCCTGAAAAAAAAACCCCACATTTCTTGCCCTTCAGTAACTTTAAAATGCACATAACCAACAAGCTGTACAAGTGCTTCTGAAATTTTAGTGAATAGCCTAAGAGTGCTGATTACTGATAGTCAGTGATATGGTCACATTCAGGCAATGAAACCTCTTGGCCTCATGTACCAGGAACACGAGTAACAGCTGCAAGTATGTAACAGGTAAGTCTTGAAAGATTTTTAATAAAATTCTTAGATAGCACTCAAACATTTTTCCCAGTGGGTAATTAATTTAAATGAAGTCAGTACAGGCTTCCTTGAAGGTATAATTTACTCAAACAATATTAAATGTTCTACGTTTTGACAGCTATCTTGAGGGAAGAATGAAACCTGCAGATTCTGTAATATCTTTTCGTTGTTTTCCTCAGGGCTCCTTCCAGTATGATTTGTACTGATTAGAAAGACAATTAAGTCACTGCAAAAACTCTACTGGCCATTACAATACATTTCCTCTCAGAAAAAAAACAAAACAAACAAACAAACAAAAACAGGAAAGGCTCTGCACAAAGTATTTCCCTTCTCCTGCCTGTGAAACTGGTAGGAATCTCATCTGGCACAGTAAATGAGTTATGATATTTCACTTTAGCACTCAGGTACCTTTGCAGAATTCTATACCCAGTGTCATTCTACCATCAAAGAAGGCAATTCAGATTCATGGAGGACCTCAAAACCCTTGGAAAAAGTAGACACTGATAAACAGAGATAAAAAGGAAATGATGTTTTTTCAACATTAGAAACATTCATATAGAGTATTTTTTTTAAAGGTACTAACTCATAACTAGTTCTAGGAATAACAAGTGAACCAGCTCTCAGATCCTCACAAGCACTGCTACCCTGGTGTACGAGCCATGGAGCTGCAGGGGCGTTCTAGTGCAGAATCACCAAACTCTAGGTATCAGTGGTTTTGTTGTGCCACTCTCTACTTTAAATGAAACACAACATGCTTCCAGAACTCAGTGCACGTTCAGGTCCTGTGGAGGGAAGGGCCGTTGCCCAAGGGACACGACTTACTCTGGGGGAGGCATTTTGGCGGGCTCCACGTCTCGCAGGAACTCGCACTGAAGCGCCTGCTCGGCCGTGCAGCGCTTGCTGGGGTCCAGAGCAAGCATGTAATCGAACAAATCGAGTGCAGCAGGGGGGATGCTACAGGACAGCAGGGGGGAGAAAAGCAGCACGGTTTGATTCGGAATCACACTTCTCTGCAAAGCTGCAATAAACAGACCCCTTCCAAAAATAACGGATTAAGTCCTCAGACAACAGCCTAATGAAACCCACTCACGGCGTGATCCTGGTAGCAAGAGGCAGAGGTAAACTCCACCTTTTGCTCCCTCTCAAGCATGTAACCCAAGCTTTCTTTGCTTCCCTTGTTAAATTGCTTCAAACATTGCTCTTACCAAAAACAAAACCCACCCCAAAACAAGTCAAACCCCAAGAAAACAAAACCAAACAATAAAATCCCCAACCAAAGCAAACCACACACATCTTTTTAAGCCAAAACTATATTGTTACTTTATACTTTGGAATTTAGCACCCAGGGTTCTGCAGTTTTTGATTGGTCTGTGAATAGTAATAGTACTACTTTAAAGATAGGCCTCATCAATACAAACAGGGTGACATCTCTCCTGAAACCCACAGTAACAGAAGGAGAATAAACCCTTTAAAATAAGGTTACAGCTGTTTTCCATAACTTTCACGTGCAATATTTGCACAAACCCCAGTCCAGTGGTAGTACTTTAGAATACATGGTTCAGATAACTGCTCTGTGCTGGATGAATTTATGGCCCAGAAGACTGTAATGTTAACCAGACGACATATTTAGCTGTAGTCAGTTGTCCCAGTAAAAACCAATTAAGTGCTCTGAGCTGTTTTTTGTACATGGACAACAAGCAGGTGTACCAGTCACAGAAAACAAATGTTTCCTTAGGTGAAAGCTGACACCTGGCTGAAATTTTAGGGCTGCCTTCCCTCTCCTTGAAGTGCCTATTAAACAAGGGTTAATACAAGCTCTGTGGGTATCATGGGAAGGATAAGAACCTAAAGTCATTTTTCTTTACAATTAATCTATGTTCACTCTCCAGAAAATAATGAAGTTCATAAAGTCTCCAGGAAAACGTAAGGTTATTACAGCTGACTAAATTAATTCTTCATCCTTACAAAGCAAACTCTTCTCTCAGCTTTCGACGATACTGCTTCTTTGGTTTCATTGTGTTGAAATAAGCTAATTTTATAACATCAGGCCACACTGCTGGACAAGGACTCCCACAAATTCGGCTGTACAAAAAAGAAGGGAAAAAAGGGCATGAGATCCAAAACCACAAGTGAGCACAGCTGTCATTTTACTCTTGCACATACAATGAATACAAAAAATTTTATATTTTAATGTTCAGGTTCTTTTATCTAAAATTTCTCTACTGTCCAATGCCCAACACCACTAAATAATGGTGAATTGCCTATGAGAGGTAATCACCCTGCACAGACTAAGCTTACTTTAAGAAGTCTGCTGGTTCTGCCTCACCTCACCCCAGGCATCCCCACACAAACGTTTCAAAAAACTGAACCATGTCTGGACAGTACTCCAGACTTGGAGAACTAGATAGCCCAGGCTTAATGTGCTAATTAACTTTTATGTTCTTAGCTCCCAACACCAGTGAAGAAATATACACCAAATGCTGAAAAAGCACTTCTCACTCAGAATTTTGTTGACAATGAAGACACAAGGTGAGGGGGAACGCAGTAAAGCCTCAGGGTAGAAGCAAGATCCAACCACTAGAAAACCTGGATGTTTTTTACTTCAGTTACAAGTTTTAGGTCTCAAGCCATATCTATCTCCACAAATGAAGTTGCTCAGAGTCCTATTTCTCCCCCTCCATCCCTACCCACTTTGTCCTACTGAGGATGGCTAAACACAGGTCAACCAGCTCCACACTTCCAAGCAGAACTAAAGAGGCATTTTACTGTACATGCAAGATTGCAAACTCTGATGCAGCCAGTCATAAAAGGACATTTTGCAAACAGATTTCCCGAGTTTACCCCTCCCACTTATGAGATATAAATTATCATAAATATGAGATATATGGTTACTGCACAAGACCTAATAACTTATTAAGCCCTGAATGTTGTACAAACCAATCTGACTGGTATGTAACTTTCAGAGGGAAAAGAAAAATAATAAATGTATCTGTTCCTATGATGATTTACTTCAGCTCTAACTTTGAACATAGAAGTTAGAAAGGAGAGATGTAGAATTGTTGACTGTAACATGATGGTGGTAGAGAGGCTGATAAAATTGATATATTACATTTAAACTGCCAAAAATGCATAGCATCAGTGAAGATGAAAAATGAGCTAAAACCAGAGGCTTCCAGCAGAAGGAAAGCACAAAGTTTTAGTTTGCTGCACCAAATGCAAAACACAAAATAAAAAAAACTTCAAATGACTGCACGGTGATGTGCTTCATTGCCACCTAGTGCTCAAAAGCAAAAATTCCACAACTGAGAGTGACCACTAATATGCTTTGCACCCTCTTTAAAGCTTTTTCAGGCCAGCTGACAACACATTCCACAGAATCATGCTACTGGCTTTTTTTGAGAAACATCTCTGCGTATAACTTTTATATTATATATAACAATATTTGCTATTAATTTTTTGAAATAATGTTAACATTTACTGTTCAGGTTCTATTAGATCTTGTAGGACACCCTCTTTCCCATGTTTCTAGGAAGAGGACTTCTCCTCACTTAGGAGGTCAGTTACGATATCAGAATCAAGAGCAAGTTTTGCTTGCTGAATAAAGGGAAAAAAAATCAGATGCTCTGGTTCCACTGAGTTACAGATTATTTCATTCTATGATTTATTGAGATAAGGAAAGAAAAAGCAATTTTGCCTCCATAAAGTGTCTGGAAGTTTGTAAGGGAACAGAAACATTTCCACAAAAACAGAGTCCAGGAGTGTATGCGGAAGGCTTGAAACAAGAACTCAATGCCAGTAGCATGCCAAGTACCTCCTCCTCCCAAACCTCACTTCTCCTTATTATTGTCCATGTTTTCATTTTAATTTGTTGCAAGAAAGCTGCAACATCATCTTAAAAATAATGGGCATTTTGACTACTCTCTCTTCACAACTTCAGTAATAGGCAACTCCAGCTGCTCTACAAAAAACCCTCTTACTAGTCAATTGTACATTGCTAGAATCACAGAATACTCACAAAAAACCCCCTTCTTCATGTCCAAGCAAGTCACTTGCTTTACATGCTCCTCAAAACCTCTAACATCTCACTCAGGGTGATAACTGAGCATGTGTAAGTGTTTGCAGTGCATTATCTCTGATTTTAACACTAACAAAACCAAACCTGATGGTTTATGATGCACCTACTATTTGGTAGTGCCTGCAAGTTACCTTATAAGTTCCAGTTGAGCAAGTTCTTGATTTGCTTGAAATATTGGCTTTTTTGTAAAAAGTTCACCCAGGATGCAGCTGTAAAACAGTTTTGCACAATCCCATCATTATGACTTTCAATACAGATTGATAGAAATAGTGAATATTGAGTATTTATTTTTGGCCTGTTTTTTAATGCTTGCTACACTTCTGTACCAAACTCTTACCCACAGCTCCAGACATCGATAGCTGGCGTGTACCTTTCTTCTCCAAGCAGAAGTTCAGGAGGCCGATACCATAATGTAATAACTTTGTTGGTATATGGTCGGCTGTTGGGGGGAGCAAAAAGAGAGGACTATCATTTTCCTACCATCTCATTGGTGAAACAGTGACACTTTGTGGACTTTACTTCTGTGGTGTTGTTTCAGAACAGTACAAGCTGTCACAACCTTTTCTTAATTTTAGTCCTGCAAAGCTGCAACTGCACAAAAGCAAACACAACTGACTAAGGCTAATGACCTGCTTGAATAAAACCAGTCATTTCTGGACAGCTATTGATTGCTAGCATACTTAATACAGTACCTCTACAAGCATTCTGAAAAGAAGAAAAAATAGGCACTTTCCCCTATGTCACTGAGAAGCAAAGAGACAAAGCCTTTTTCTTTAACTACATCCTTCAACAATTCTAAAGCCTGGAAGACTCCCAATATCTTCCTGTATTTCTCAACAGCTTTAATTCTCTACAGCTCAAACCAGAAGTTTTGGTCCCTGGAAATAAGTCTTTCCACCCTCACACTAAGGCAAGGATTTCTTCCATCTTAGATAGCTTTTTTTCGTTGTTGTTGGTTTCTTTTTTTTGTGGACAGGCCAAGATACAGCATCAACAGTTCAGAATGGAAGGCAAAAAACATACGTTAGGTTTTGTTTCAACCAGAGCATCTTACAGGTGATCCCAAAATTTTCTCCATTTTTCTAATTCACTCTTACCAACACTAGGGAACTCCAAAGAGAAAACAGTAACATTAAGTGCAGACTTTGAACTGTTAACTCTAATAAGGTCTTATAACTTATCCAGTGGTACCAGGTGTCATTTCTGCAAAAACACCTTTTTTTCCATTAAGGAACTCCTCAATTCATTTTTAAAACGTAGTATGTTTTTGGGAACAATCCCACCATTTACAATATTTCAATCCCATCATTTATAATATTTACCTCTGAAGCAAGCATTCCTCTATGACATGTTTACATGGCATGGACTTTCTCTACAGATACACCACTCATATACATTAGTATACAGTACTTTATTTGAACAGATGTTTTCTTACACGATCTGTCATCTCTCCTACTCCAAACATATTCAATTCACCAGAGTAATGTTTAAAGAAGCACAACTACAACAACTGATGGGAATTTGCTTAAAGTTAAATTTTTATTTCCTCCCCATTGTGCTTCTACTAAATTCTGTACCCTTTTGAAAAGTATGTAATTCTGAACAACAATAAAACAAATGTAAAATACACTAATTTAATTCAGCAGCTATTACACACTTGTTGGTATACATTAATTACATCTGTTACTACAGGTCAGAAGCTACTCAGAAGGAAAATGAATGACAAAAGAACCATCAAAAATCTACTAATGAGATTTTAATTATCCTCCCAAGTTCAACTAGCTTAATTATTTTTTAATTTTAGTCTCATTTATATATAATGGTGTAATAACGTTGCTCTTTGATGTATAGCAAGATCTGTTATATACACTGAAAAGACACTGGACTATCAAACATTCAATTCTTAATGAATGGTTAGTTTTACAAGCAAAATTTAAATTAATTTAAAAACAGACACTAAAAAACCCCAGGTAAACCAGAGAAAAATAACAACGTGAGTTGAGTGCATGTTAAAGAAAGAAGGTGACATCAATTCCTTTTATTATCAGGACATCCAAACCAAAAGTTAATTACTCAGCAACTGCTTAAGATTACCCTGCTACTATATTCAACAGTTTTCATAACTGTACTTAGGCATCTGTTCCTGAAATAACAGCTCAGAAGACTGTGAAACTAATGCTAACAGGTTCAACAAGCTCAGAGCTCTGTGAGAGAACAATAAGCTCATCAAGCTAACATTATGGGTATTATTTCCCAAATTAGGCAAGCAAAAAATCAAAGTAAGATCAGGTAGTTAATATTCTTTGTAACCAGGCACCTGATGTACATACTGCTGTAATGAACATTCAGCCTGAATTCTGAAAATCCAGTTCCACAGCACAAACACATGACATTACAATATAAATATTGAAGTTCTTAATCATAAAAACTGTGCACCTGCTTCCTGCAGCACAAGCATAACGAAGCCAAGAACAACAGAAGCACAAGTCACAAGAAGTTTCAGAATAACTTTTATTAAAACTTGTATCTCTGTTTCCAGCAGATTCAACAGCACTGACTGCCTGAAGAACACAATGAACCTCTTCAAATATAAGGTTAAATCTTACACAAAAGTAATGCTTATTGAAAAGAAACTGTATACCAATTTGTGTCAGCCAAAAAATTTTGCTCTCCCTAAATAAACTTTCCTAGGTATACTAATAGAAAGAACATACTTTAGGTTTACAGCACCAGAAACCAATAGTAAAAACCTAGATATTGATGTAACCTGCTTAGGATTGCAACTCTTCATTTCCAATCAATATATGGCCACTCTCTACAGTTATTTATCCAGGACACTTGGAAAAGCAATACACTTACACAAAGAGAGGTCTGTGGTTTTGTGCTGTGTAAGACAACATGCACTTCTTTGAAGCAATTACTTGTATTAGAGCACAATAACATCTCCTCTAAACAAAACACTCTTCTTTTCTGGCCCTCATAATACTTAAGAGTTAGGCAAAAAGGTTAAACCTCTGAATGCTTTTTCACAGTATCATTATATCTTACCTCTCTTCAGAGTTGTACAGCCGAGCAAGCCCAAAATCTGCAAGCTTTATCTGCCCTCTGGTGGAAAAAGCAAAGAATTATTTAGAAGTTAATCCTGTTCGATTTCCTCCCCAAAAATCAGGTAAAGTTTGAGCTTGAGATAGCTGCAACTGATCTTCACCCAACCACATTAATGAGGAGGCAATGCCTCACAATCTGTGCATCTCTTCAGTAAACAAATACACTAATGGCAAAGACAAGTAAGCAAAATTAGGTATGTTCATCAAATGGCACCTACACCACGGGATGTTAAGTTAAAATTTAGATGTACACTGTCAAGTATTTGAATCATTAACTGCAGGAAACAAACGGAGGGAGGAGGCTGCTATTTTCTCATGCCCTACTGCTAGCATAAGCATTTGTACAGCAAACAACTGTCAGCACTCATACTTCCTTCTAGGAAGCCATCAAAGTCCTGCTCTGCTCTTGTAAAGTTTAAATACAGAATTTAAATCAGGGTCACCGACCTGATAAGGGCTTCTATTTTTGCCAGCAGACAGCTTGCTGAATTACACCACCTCTAACCCCTTCTTGAGTTTTCCCATGTATGAGGGGAAGAGCAGCAGATACAGAGCTCTTTGCCTGGCAGTTTCCATGGCTGAGAGGCATGGCTCAATGGCCAGAAGCCCCCATCATCCATAAAGTCTGGATGATTTAAACAGAAAGCCATCTGCAAGCTTCTATGATACGTGAAAGGAATGTTGGAACGTTACATGGGCTTTTTGGGTTTATGTACTTACAAGCTTTTAAAACTCCTGTCACCTTCTAATACATTCAAATGTCACTTTCCAATAAATTTTAAATTATTGAATTAGGGCAAGACTTTCTGATGTGCATAAGAATGACCACTGTGTGATAATAAACATACAAGTAATAGTTTCCACTCAGATGTGTGCTCGGAATTGCTGTAACACTTGCAGAACCTCCATAAACAAAGAAATGTTCCCCTCAATTTTACATGGCTACTCCTCAGAGAGAGCATTTGTGGAAGATCAATGAATTTTTGAACAAAGACATTTAAGTTGTGTATCTAGAAGATAGATCATCCATAATGTTGGGCTTCAGGCTGTAACTGGTAATGAGATTTTAGAAACAGTCACTTAAAATTATTCAGACCAACTATCAACTTTTTCTTCTTCAGTGGAAATGTCTAAGGATGCTCAAAAAATACCCTAGGGGGAAAAAAAAAAATAAAAAATCTGTATCCCACATTGGAGAGGTTACAGCACACAGAGAAAGCTCCACCTCTACCATAGTGCTCCCTTCTCCACTGCCAGGTTACACCTCAGCTTCTGAATTCCCCAAGGTGCAGAGACAGCACCAGCCACCACTGGAGATGGGCAGGGCAGCCAGACTGGGTGTGTGGGCACAGTGAGTGATGTGGAGGCATGTGCACGTACATCTGTTGGAGAGTCTGTATCGACCTGGCACGATCGGGAGCCAGAGCTGAAAACAGTCATCTCTGTTTATAACAGTCAGAGGAAAAAATGGAAAATTTAAGCAGGAGAAAGCTGGAATACAACTAGGGCCCTACCAAGAGACCCTTGATCCATTTTGCCCAGTATTTTGTCTCCAACAGAAGCAGTAAATTTTCAGGGAGAACATGTGAACCTGCTCCCTTTGGGGCTTGTTGTACTCCTATCCTACTTAACCACCACCCAGAATCACTGTGTAAAGGATGCCCAGACAGGTATTCCTGTCTATTCCCTTTAGCAGGTGCTAATGATCCCATCCATGAATGTGTCTCACCTTTTTGAATCTCCTGACATTACCCAGAAAAACCTCCTGTGACAAGAAATCCCGGAGGGTGACTACCTGCTTTATAAAGATACTCTTTTTTTTTTTTCTCCTGTTCTAAACCTCACTCTTAGAGTTGCTCCCTGGGTTTAATACTGCTGGATGTGATGAACAACAGTACTGTACAAAAGTTACCCACAATCTTCACACAGGCTTTTTATGTGCTGCTGTGAAACTGAACAAAAGCATGTTCACTAATATAATTTGTGATTGCAAGTGGTTAAAGTAGTAAGATGCAAATTCTTCTCCCCATCTGATTGTGGCTATAACTGCAAACCAAAACATGTTTGAACGGGTCTGATTGATTGTTCTTTTAAAGCATTATCCTGAGTGATAAGACAAGGACCTCAGGACTATGTCACTAAGAACCTGTCCAGCCACACTTCATCTTGAAATGAGATGGCAAAAAGAATGCACGTCAAACGCTTCTGTCCTAAAATTTTGTTTTAGTAACTCAGAAAATTTTTCCCCATACTCTAAGCTAAAAGATCCAAGTTTTAATCCTGCTGTTTAACAATCAATTGCAGGATGCATTGTTAAGCAGTAACATGACCAGATTAGTATTTTATAACTGATTTTAAAGAAACTAGGCAACCTAAAGAAACCCTTTTGCTAATGACTTAAAGGAGGTTAACTGTGAAGATTAAGACAAAGACTTTAAGATGTGAACATACAACATTTTTACATACTTTAAGTAACATCCATACCTATTATTTAGTAGAATATTTGAACACTTGATATCTCTGTGCAAAAAGTTCTTCTTATGACAATAGGCCAAGCCTTCCATCAGCTGTCTCATAAAAGATTTAATATGATTTTCATTAAAATGAACCAAACCAGATTCTAGCAGTCCCATCAAGTCATGGTCCATATATTCAAATACCAGGTAAAATGCACCTAGGGAAAAAAAAGGAAAGGGTAGGAGAAACAAGACAGAGATAGTCATACAATGTCAGTCCAAAGCATTGCTGCTCACTACTTTTGAAAGTGGCAAGTATTTTTTACACAACTGTTTACATTTTCTGCAGTGTTTGTAGCTGTACCTCCTGTCCAATAACAATGAAACAGTGCAATAAAATATATTTTCATAAAATTGCTTTTTTCATGTAAACAATTGTACTCTCCCTAGAGCTCTCAACCTCCACCCATTTTATTTAACAAAATATAAACTGAGTTAATATTCCCTATGTAAAGTTTGGGGAGAAATCCAGAAACAAAATAAGTACAGCATTAGTTCTTCTGTCATGATTTGGTGACTGATTTTTTCTAAGCTTTCAGTGTGGAATTGGGTCAGAAATAAGGCTGCTCTTCTCAGACTAAAAATGCTGTGAGACAAAACGAGGAAGCAGAACTAACCTACGAGCAACAGCGGCTCTGCCAAGGTGGGAGTTCATATTCCAAGCTGCCACATAAAGCACAATAGAACCTGGTCTTATCTCTCATCAGCCTGTGTAACTCCACAAATAAAGCTATTAAAGCCAAGGCTCTTTGAGATATAGAACTATCCTTAAAGAGGAAAAGTGCTGAGTCCTTCAAAAGCATTAACAACCAGTCTCCAGCACAACCACTCCCAATACAATCTACTGTTCAGCACGTATTTTTTCCCCTTCTGTTTAACTCTGAGGCAGAGAAGGCAGTGCAGTCCCTGCAGAGCACTGGTGGCAATGCAGAAACCACAATCAAGTGGGTCTACTTTCCATTTTCAAAGGCCTCCCCTGAAGAGATTTCAAAGACATGCTGCCCAACAAGAACTCATTACAGGTTCTAGTTCCTAAATAAGTTTCAGTTCAGAAGCTAGTGGAAGTCTTGGATCAACAACAAGTCAGCTTGCCAGAACGTACACACACAGAGTCACATTCTAATGAACTGACTTGTTTCCTTTCGTAGTAGCTGAAAAGGAAGAAAGAGTGCTAAATCCATCTGCTATTTAACAAACAGAAAAAAGATTACTCATACAGCAAGTGTTAAACTTGTACCAAAGATCAGCATAGAGCAGCTACACCACAAGCCATTGTATAAGACACGCAGGGATAACTGTTGTAATTTTAGTCCTTTGGGCTGCTGTAAGTTACACAGAGAAAGCAGCACACTAACTATAAAATACCCCAATTGGTGTGTACAGAGGAGCAGCAGCAGGAAGTAAATCAAACAGGTATCACCCAATCCCACCACTTCAAAGGGCAAGAAGTATTGAGAGCCATGAAATACCAAAACTCTGCTGTG